GTGCAACGTGTGTGAACTGAGATGTCGTCTGAGCTGAAGGATGTCCTGGTGCTACCACTGTACAATGGCAAGGGAAGCAAGCAATGTTGCACGAATTATAAGGGTATCAACTAACGTAGTTGTGTGGGCAAGGTGATTGCCCGAATCCTGCTAAACCGCCTCGTCAGCCACGTTGTGGAAGCGAACGTGGCGGAAAAGCAGCGCGGATTTCGCCCGGGTCGCAGCACCATCGATATGGTGTTTGCGGCTCGTCAACTGCAGGAAAAGTGCAGAGAGCGACACCAGCCGCCGTATTCACAGTTTGTTGATTTCACCAAAGCATTTGATACGGTGAACCGCGAGGCACTGTGGCTGGTGTTGAGTAAGTTTGGAAGTTTAATTGTATGTCTGCACAGTGGTATGCAGGCGAGAGTACAACTGAGTGGACAAACCTCGGATGATCTTGCAGCTGTCTTTGGTGTGAAGCAAGGCTGTCTCGGATCCTGCTGGGTATCATATGTATCTTCACGCCATGATGTCGTGAGCGTTTATTGATGCGTGTGCTTACGGTGTTCACGTGAAGCACCGTATTGATGGTGGGTTGCTGAACATCTGTTGTTACAGTGCAAGAATTCTAGTCTGTGAGACAACTATCCGTATGCTGCTGTTCGCTGACGACTGTGCGTTGTTTGCGCACAACGCGGATGAGTTGCAGCATATGACTGGTGCTTTGGGTTCGATAGCAGCCAAACTCGGGCTCACCATTAACACAAACAAAACTGTTTCTTTCAGCCTTAAGCAGAAGTGCAATCTGTAATTGTGCCGAAAATCAGCATTAATGGTGAAGAATTGGAAGTCACCCCGCGCTTCTGCTACCTTGGGAGTGTAGCTTCGACTGACCAGTAAATATACAATAAGTCTCGTATCTGCTTATTGAAGGCGGCGGCAGTTTTCGGGGAGCTAGAGTACCGAGTGTTGAATAACCACACGCCTACCGACGGCACGAAGCCGATGGTGTACAAATCCATGGAGCTGTCCCTTTTTCTTTATGACAGTGAAACGTGGACGATATACTGGCGAGATGTGAGATATCTCGAGCGGTTTCATTAACACTGTTCACGACAGATACCGCGCATCGCTTGGTGCGACGGATTTCAGGCACGGTGTTACGCCGAAGTGGAATGTATGCGGTGTAGTGTATACTTTTGCTGAAACGCCTGAGATGGCGCAGTCATGTGTGCCGTCTGGATTCGATGGGGATGCCAAAGCAGTTGTTATATGGTCAGATGAATGTGGGGAAACCGAAGCTTCGTTACCAGGAAAAGATCAAGGCGAGTTTATCACGAATTAAGGTTGATTTCAGGCATTGGAAATCAAAAGCGGTTTATCGGCGTGCAAGGCGCGATCTGATTACGAAGTCAGTTGCCGAGGTGCAGAAGAAAGCCCACGTGCATGCGGAGCGGCAGGTGCGGAAGCGAAGGAGCCGATGGAGTGTACGCCATAGACGCCGAGCGCATGGTGCTGTAGCACATGTAGTTGCAAGTGCCTGAGTCAGGCAGGTCTAGTGTGCCACGAGTGAGGCCACTCGGGACCAGTATCTAAATGACGACGAGTGTTGCTGAGAACGCAGGTAGAACCGGCGCAGCGTTGGTAGGTATGCTGCATGCGCTTCTATTCAATTTATGAACCACGTGTTTGGGTGCTGAAATCCTTTAGTTCAGATGATTGGTTTGGTATATTGTCTTGATGATTATTGTATCACCTCATTTTAATAGCTACCAGAATAACCCTCTATTAACTTGCACACAACCCTTAAACAAAAACTGGCTAACTTTGCTTGTTTTTTCTCGTTTGTCATACGTTTTTTGATCGCTTGTTCTGCCAGCTTGAAGTTATTGCGGATATGTTGCTAACAATTTACTTCATATGCTAATTTAGTGAAGAGTTTCGTCGGCACATCAAGTGATTGGCTGTTGCTTGACATCCCCGGTGTGGCTGCGCTATGCCCGAAGAGTGGTTCCATCCAATGTGGAGCGGACTACGGTCCAGCCACCGCCTTGCGTGCGCTTGATTCCCCAAATACAGCGTGCTTGTGTTCACCTGGGAAGGAGTCCGCTCCACACTGAGTGCATGGAACCGCTCTTTGAGGCTAGCACGGCCACAAGGACCGTGCAACCCGTCCCCACCAGCAACGACCAACTGTCTCCTGGAGCCAGTATGAACGAGGAAGTGGGTAATAGACAGGTAGGCATTTTATCAACATGCACATCAAGCGCAGCCACACCGGGGATATCAAGCAACAGCCATTCACTTGAAACGACAAGATGAAAAATAAATCCAATAATGCATACAGATACGGTGGCATAACTTCGCTAAATTAGCATATGAAGTAAGTTGGTTAGCAACGAATCCGCGACAAGTAAGAAATGTCCACAAGTTACTATTGAATGCTACAAACGCAACAAAGGTACCGAAGATAAGCGCAATTAGGGTAAGCAACGCGGCCAGTTAATAGAGGATTATTCAGTTAGGCAGAATAAGCCAAAGAAAGTGGAATGAAATTTATCCAGCTGAAAAAGACCTAGTTTAAGTGTAAGTTAATTTAACCCAATTGCGGTGAAGAAGCAATAAGAATGCAACATCAGCCTCAGCGCGGCACATATACATGGTTTGCGGCATCCGGTTTCGGATTTGCCTGTCACTGTGGCCAGCCACAGGACTAAGGTCCTCCAGCTACTGCAAGGCATTAACCTCTAAAGCTTCCGGTCCTGATTCAATTCATCCGAAGCCGTTACATGAATTGGCAACTGTGCTGAGTGGTCTTCTCACATGCGTGTTTTCAAAATCGATTGACAGCTACGTCCTACCTTCGGAATGGAAGGAGGCAATCATCTGTTCGCTTTTTAAAGGGGTAACAGCGCTCTACCCGCGAACTACCGGCCTGTCAGTTTGACAAGCGTAGTAGTCAAGTTGTTTGAAAAGCTGATAAGGGATTCAGTGGAGAACCATCTGAATAGATTTCACCTTCTCAGTGTTGCGCAACATGGATTCCGCAAGGGATTTTCACGTCACACTAATCTACTTGTAGCTCGTGAAAGCTGGGCCGAAGCGGTAGACAGTGGCCACGCTGTAGACGTGCTGTTCGTGGACTTTTCGAAAACTTTTGACACTATTCCACATCTTCGGCTCTCACTTAAGTTGAGATCTTACGGGATATCCGGTCTCTGACTTCCTTGAGGGGAGGGAACAGTGCGTACGGGTGGGACGAAGCCTTTCGCTCAGGCAAGCTGTCCTTAGTGGCGTTCCGCAGGGCTCGGTATTGGGGCCATTGTTGTTCGCGATTTATGTAAATGACTTGCCGGGAGAGCTAGGGGTGTCATCACTAATGTTTGCTGAAAACCTTCAGCTCTGGAATATTGTGGATATCCCGGGTGGTCCTGAGGCAATCCAGCGTACCTTGGATAGGCTCTGGGAATGTTCTACTTCATGGTTGATGTCCATAAATAGGGTCAACTGCTCTGTTCTACGAATCGGAGCTGCTGATCCTCCCACCCGATATGTTGTCGGCGGTGGTGAATTCCCTGTTATCACTCAGCAGGTTGATTTAGGAGTCGTACACGCATCAGCACTTCATTCTGGAGACAATTGGAAGAAGGCTGCTTGTCGAGGGTTTCGTATGATGTGGTTCATCTGCCGCCCATTCGGAATCCTAACGTCAATTTGTTTGTGAAGCTATTCACGGCATTCGTCCGAACCCACCTGGAATATTGTATCCAGGCTTGTCCACCATGTCTTAATCGAGACAAAATGGACTTGGAGAGAATGTTACGAGTGGGCACTCGGTTAGTGCAGGGTCTACGGGGACAGACGTATTCTGAACGCTTGCTCAGTTTGGGGATGTACTCAACGCACTACGGAAGGATAAGAGGGGACCTGATTCTCACTTATCGTATTTGACGGGTAAGATTGGCCCGGACTTGTCAGGGCTATTTAGTCCCACTACGTTACCTAATCTCCGCGGTCACCAACTGAAACTGCATAAACCACGGTCTGATAGGATTAGAAGGGAAACTCGTCTGTCGCGCCAATTATAGATCGCTGAAATTCCCTTCCAGAACACGTGGTTAGGGAACCTACGGTTAAGGATTTTGCGCGCCAGCTCGATGCTCTTGGGTGGCAACAGCAAACTTTTCCTTTTACCTAGCTGACTCACCACTTTTCGGTTCTTTTTTAATGACTCAAATATCTTGGTATTCTACTTGCTTAGCTCTTTCTACTTTTGCATTGTCTTTTGAGTAACATTTTTTCTCCTTACTTCACGTTACCGGCCCAGCAGGGACTGCTAGGGCAGGATAGGTGGGCATTAATTGGTTGGACAGGGTGTGATGCGGCCTTTATTTTAGGTCTATCATTATTTTAAGGTTTGCCAACTCCTGGTTCAACGCCCTGCCGAAGAAGGAACACTCACGGAATAATCCTACCGTTCCAGTCCCGCTTGAACTTGACTGGAACCTCCTTGCGAAGAACGTTATCAGTGCACAGTCTGAAGGTTTCAAGCGGCTCTTAGGCTACCACCTGTGTACGATATCAGGATTGCACTGTTTTACCGCGGCTGCTCCAGCCTACTAGAACTGCTGGTCGCAATGACACATGCTCCTGTTCTGAACCGGAGGTGATGGGGCCGACACGGGATCTCCCTCTACCCCCTACAACCACGTACTCAGTGAATTCTCAGGACCTCTTCGTGTTCTACTATAGTGTGGGAATTTGCAGAACGGTACAATGCATAGAATTGAGCAAGTTCGTAAAGGTAGGCAAAGAGATATTCGTATTTGCCAGCGTAAATCAAACTCACATACAAGCAATGGATGACGGATAACGAAAGGTAACAGTACTATGCCATAAGCGGGAGGTGACGAAACAAAGTATAAATTTTAAACAACACAGTACAAAGAAAATAATCAGGCTCTTAGCAACACATAATAAGTAAGCAACATGGAGAATATGAAAACTGAACACACCTCATGCCGGGTCGACAAGCGTGGCAGAAAACGAAACTACGCGCGTAGGGGTTCCAGGGTGTGAGATATTTTCCATGTCATGAATCTGTATGGTTTGAAAGTCAAATAATCGTGTATGCCAACTAACTTTATACCTGATGGTTGTGCCTTGTTTATTTATCGAAACGTGCTGAATTATTTACTGCTGTCACACACACTACCAGTTCAGATCCATCTGTGAAGCCTACTAACCGATTTTTATTTCCTAATGTCTCGGGGATTTAACATTACACATGATATGCAGAACATTACAGATAATTGCATTAAGTAATGTGCCCGCGTCTATGGCACATTTTAACCACGGTCGGCATTGGCAGCGCCCTGGCGCTTGATTTGGGATCCATTCTGCTCAAAGAAGAAAGATCACTGTTAACTTCCTGGATATACATAAGTATAAGTGAAATAGGCCTCAGTTACAAAAACGGAGTCTACTTTGTGTCCATTGTTAACTAGTTTATATGCACCAGTTGGTTAACCACGATAGCAAGGATTCCTACTACCCTGCGAACCTCGGTATGCGTGCCGTAGATCAGAGGATGGCGGGCGTTCAAACTTAAAATTTTTCTACCACCGCTTTCCGCTTAACAACAGATGATATGTTATTTTTGCCGAAAGTGGCCACTAAACATCCCGTGCAACCACGTAAACCGGATGAGGTTGAACGTCAAGTGGTTATGCTTTGTGGGCTAAAATGGCTATTGAAGGAAACGTAAGAAAAGCTGTAGTTTGCTGCGGACTCACGAAGACGAACAGACATAAAATTGGCACTTACACCAATCTGGTAAGCCATGTTGAGCAAAGGTATGCGTTGGTTTTCCATTCTAACTTTGAATAAGGTGCAAGCAAGACGTTAGAATTCGGGGAAGCCTTCCTGGAGAGATTCAAGCGAAAAAATCCCAAGTTTTAAATGTTGCATGTCACAGTTTTGCGGATACCATAGTGAACTTCTCGGTGTCCTACCAATTTTGGTATATACACCTCCGGAGGGAGTAAAAAGGACGGTGCAACCTGAAATAGAACCCCGGCTGCACGGCTAAGGGGCCGGCTAGCATACTCCATGGGTTATACCCTTGTAGTCAGTCCCCTTATATGTTAGCTAAAATGTCCTCCGTCAAAGCAGCATCAAAGTAACCATAGCAAAAATCAGATGGTTGCGCGCACGTTTGGAAGTTTTTCTAGGTTACCATGGATGCTTAACACGTGTTTGCCCCAGTTTCTTCTTAATTTATTCACTACAGGCGGTAAACAAATTTCCATTACCATTAAACTAACACTACCTTGACTCTAGACATCTATAAATATATAAATAACCAGTTTATTCTCGAATTTATCGAGGCACTCCGAGCCAGGCATGACCAACATTTACATGCAATTAGGTTTCGCAATCAACACGTTGCTGTGTATCTACTCGGCAGTAAACCGAAAGTTGCACAGTGTGTAGAAATTATAAAAGTAATCATGAGATATAAGGTCGTCAAAGAGTGACGATACGTTGGGTTCTTGAGTGTGTAGTGCAAACAGTCAGGGCACTATATATGTAGTGATAACGATTCATGTAGGCAGGGAGTAGCTTATTCCTGAACGCGTCAAGAAATTATTGAATTACGATGCTAGTCTACTTGCTAGTACGTAGTTGTGGACAGTGACGGTATTCCGTGGAGAGTCACATCCGACACGGTGCAGTGTTGTTAAAAGAACATTTGAAGATTTTTATCGGGGAAAGTCTTGCCAGGCGAAACCCTACCACGTCCCGGAACACCGTCAGAAATCCGTTTCAACGCTATTGTACTAATGTCAGGGTAGCTTGCCGACTGCTTTCGCACTCGGTTATTCCCAGTCAACAGCCAATTTCCTGTGTTATTTAGGCAGATATCTTGGTCAGGACCACCATAATCGCTGAGGCCAACTGAGGATGGGAGGATCACAAAGAGTCGTCTTTGTGAGTGTCCAGGTGAACAAAACATCAGTTTCTTGTGTACGGATGTGAAGGCATCGTGTCCATCTAGCATTACTGGACAACGGCCGTGGTAGTGAGTGCAGTGGTATCCATTTGTTGTACAGCCATGGTTATTAAATAGTTCAGAGCATAAAAGGCTAGGACGCGGCGACGCGCAGCTAATGAAATTATGCTGTGGTGCTAATGGACTCAAACTAAGGAAGCCTAAGCAGGGAGAAGCCAGTGAGAGGGCGGAACTACAATTAATTATGTGTCACGGACGAGTAAGTGACAGCTGCGCAGCTAGCGAATAGCAGCCGTGCGCTGACCGGATGAAATGAGGATAGAGCCTGGATAGAGCCAGGGAAAGCTAGTCCGAGAGCTGGACGCTTGCAGGTGGAAAATTAAAAGACGTTACAATGAGTAAGAGGTATGAGAACGTCAAGAATAGAGAGTCTAAAGCGCGGCTGCACGCTGACTTGAGGAGTTAGGAAGTAGTGCTAGGAGAAAGCTAAAATGGTTACAGGAATGAAGGACATCGAACAGGCAGAATGCGTGCATACATTAAGTTTACGGATGACGTCGCGGCATAGGAGTCAGATGCGCGCAGATACTGATGACCTTTTAGGGTGCTAAGATATCAGTGCTGAGGTAGACTGAGCCGGAAAATGTCAGTGGAAGTTCTGGACTCCTATGTGAGCAAGTATCACAGACGTTGCAGCGAGCAACGGATAAATGAACTTTTAGAAAGGTGGGGCTAAGAGCAGCTGTGCGCAGACCACGTACGGTTATTTTCCTCAACAGTGGAGAGCTGAGAAAGGTTTCATGAAGCAGGGACGGAGAACGGATGAAGCGCAAACATACAATACGGCTGTTAAAACATTCAGAGCATAGGAGGATAAGAGGCTGCGACGCGCAGATAATCAAACCATACTGGGGTGCTAATGGAATATAACTAAGAAAGCCCGGGCCGGGAGAAGCCAGTGCGAGAGCTGACCTACAGTATAACTAGGCGTCATACACGAAGCGAGCAATAGATAACTGGAAGGTTAGATAGGAGAGGTTAGGGGCGGCTTTGCACAGACCATATGAGTAACGTTTGCCCCACGGAAGATAGCTGGGAAAGGTTTCATGATGGAAGGAAAGTGGCCGGAAGGAGCGCAAGCATACAATACGGCCGTTAAATAGTTCAGAGCAGGTGAGGATAAGGCGCGGCGACACGCAGGTAATCAAGCCATGCTGGGGTGCTAATGGAGTCTAACTAAGGAAGTCCGAGCCGGGAGAAGCCAGTGAGAGAGAGCTGAACTGCAAGTAATTAGGTGTCGCAGACGAGTAAGTGACACCTGAGCATCTAGCAAGGAAGCCAGTGAGAGAGCTGGACTACAGTATACCTAGGTATCATAGACGCAGCGAGTAGTAGATAAATGAGCGTCTAGAAAGGAGTGGCTTTGCGCGGACTACATGAGCTATATTTGCAGGACAGAAGAGAACTAAGAAAGGGTTCATGATGAAGGGACAGCGAACGGGAGAAAAGCAAGCATGCAGTATGGTTGTTTAATGGTTAAGAGCACAAGAGGCTAAGTCGTGGCGACGCGCAGATAATCAAATTATGCTAGGGTGGTAATGGAATTTCACAAAGATAGCTTGAGCCAGGAAAGCCTGTTAGAGAGCTGAACTACAATTACTTAGGTGTTATATTTGTGGAAGTGTCAGCTGAGCATCTATCAAAGAGCGGCTGCTCGCTGGCCTGATGAGAGAAGGAAGGTCGCCAGAAGAGAGCTAAAAAGGTTGAATGAAGAAAGGAAAGCAGACGGGAAGAATGCAAGCATAAATTAGTTTGACTAAGGGAGCCACATCACCAGAAGAGAGCTAAAAAGTTTGAACGAAGTATGGACAGAAAACAGGAAGAATGCATAATAAGGTAGAAAGGGGATATAATAATAAGGATGAATCACGCCTAACAACGCATTTGAAGAGAGGGTTACAGGAGGTTACGTCGGCAGAGCCTAGGTCATTTAGGTCTCTGGAATTCGAGAGGGGTCAGAAAGCTTGCGAACGCTCAGATGAGTCCGGATAAGCCGGCAAGTTGAAGCTAGGCCGCCAAATAATCGCGTGATTAAAATTAATGAGTGTCATCAGGTATGAAACAGTTTGGGACAAATTGGCTATATAAAAATGCAGTTAACATGCCAAGGGAGGCTCTTAGGCTGAGGGACAGAGTGTGTTGCGACAGCAGAGCCTAGATCGTTTACGCCTCGGATGTCTGGAAGTGATCAGAAAGCAGGAGGTTGGTCAGACGAGGCTACATTAGAGCCAGGCCCGAAGAGTTATCTGTCCAATTGAAAAGGTAATGCAAACAGAGAGCGCGAAAAGGAAAGAATTGGGAAGAAGTGGAGAAGCCTACAAAGATCTCCAAGTGTTGTGAACAGACCTTTGGATCAGTTGATGTTTCATCTGTAAGGTCTCAATAGTCGGAAAGCAGACCATTGTGTCGCGACTGGAATGTCGGCTCATAGAGAGAAAGCCGTATTATTAATGCTGGAGGCCTAACAGACAGCGTCGGCAGAATAGACATGTTAAGTAAGGAAGGGATATAATAATATGGATGAATTGTGATCAGAGCTGCTCTTGAGGTAAGCGTTACAGTGCATTACGTCTTTAGAGCCTAGCTCATTTAGAGCCCTCAAGTCGGTGCGAGGTCAGAAAGCGGGAGACTGTTCAGATGAAACCGGGTAGATCATCGAGATGATGCTATGCCGCGAAATTAATGCGGGAATAAATGTAATGAGTGTCATGAGAAAAGAAGCAGTTTGGGACGAAATTAACTATTTGAAAAGGTAGTTAGCATGCCGAGCAAAGCTCTGAGGATAAGGAGACCAGAGTGCTGGGACTGCACAGCCTACAGCGTTAACGTTGTTGATGTCTGGAAGCAGTCAGAAAGCAGTAGGCGGGGCAGATGAGGCTAGGTTACAGCCAGGCCCAGAGAGTTATCCGCCTAACTGCCTATGCGGTGGCTGCGTGGTTACAAATCCTACACGTGCTCAGGTCCTTGTTGCCAGAACTCGTCTTCTGCAACGCAGCTGCCCAGAAGTTCAGCCTCTTTTGAAACGCTAAGTACTCGTTTTATAGTCGAGGAGAATTCCACTGCATTTTGTGACGCTCGGACTATTTCTGGTAGCTTGTCTCATATGTGCTCA